TGCCAGTTGATGGCAGCGGCGAGTCGAGGCCCTCCCCTGCTCATCGTCATCATCGCCAGCGAAGAGCAGCGCAGCGTTCACGACTCCGTGGTTGATCATTTTAGATGTCGCAAAGCAAGGCGAGGTGTGAGCAGTGCCGGATTAAGCTAGTGCGGGGCCTGTAGCAAATGTTATAAAGGGGTCCTAAATATAAAAAAAACACGTAAATATTAAAACACATACATTTTGAACTTGCATAGTTGAGCAATTGTATTTTTTCATTCGCTATGCAGCCAGATAATGCAACAAATTGCCAACCTTAAACACCCAGTCGTTCATAAAAGTTGAAGGCGGTATAGTACTATAGTAATAGAGCAAGTGCAGAATCACTGAACCGGAATTGACAGCTTGAAAGCATTTAGCGCGGGGCCCTTGAAAGTGCGGGGCCCATAGCTACTACATATGTAACTACTACACGTGTAGCTACTACACGTGTAGCTACTACACGTGTAGCTACTACACGTGTAGCTACTACACGTGTAGCTACTACACGTGTAGCTACTACACGTGTAGCTACTACACGTGTAGCTACTACACGTGTAGCTACTACACGTGTAGCTACTACACGTGTAGCTACTACACGTGTAGCTACTACACGTGTAGCTACTTGTGCGACGAGTAGAATCCGGCACTGTGTGTGAGCACCTGTTGCTTTGCCAAAAAAGTGGTGCCTCCTTATCCACCTCGAAGGGATGTGGGATGATGATTATTATGACCCGATTCGACCTGCTAGTTGCCAGTGGAGTAGTCTAACCGCAATGCTATTCCATCAGCTACCTGGCTATATACCAACCTCGTAGTAACATAAACAAATACAAAGATCACCCGTATAGCCTGAACATACTATTGGGTCAAGTGCGGTTAGCGAGCACCTATGAAGGCACACGAGGGGGTGGGTGGCCAACACCACAACGCGCCGCCTTTGTCTCCCTATTGGCGATGTTTTATACACCACACCAGGTACTCATTTGGGGCTGAGTCGACCTATGGGAGTTCCAGCACCGGTTTAGTTAATAGTCACTGGTGTTGGTCGTGAGCGGGAATACGAACTCGGGTCGGCAGTTCCGTAGCGCAGCGTGCTAACCGCTACACCACCGCTCACGCACGCACGATCTTACACTCTCCGAAACGCAGAGCGTGTGGCACCACCAGCCTGTCGAACGAACGCCTGCACGGGGAGAGTTCCGTAGCCTCGAGGGAGAGACACGACCACAATGGGTGGGAAAAAAAGGTTTCTCGTTGGCAAGGCAAGTTGCCGAGAAACCATTAACCGAGGTTCCTCGGGGCTCAGGTGCGTTCCAAAAGCCGTAACCACATCACACGAACCTGCTGTGCCGTAAACTTTATTAAAATACATATCGCGTGTCTTGCCCAAAGGAATGTCCGTTTACGTAAAAAAAAAAGAATTATTCCAGTGGTTAGAATGTCACTCGTCGTAAAGATTGTTGCCCAGTGCATTGAATTCAGGTCGATGGCATGAATACGTTGCATAAACATACTGCAACGCCTTGGATGAATAGAGCATCTAAATGCAACTGCATCTACAACGTCGAGACAGAAAGAGTGGGCATATTCGTTTTACAGACGGAAGGAGACAGCCAGCCAGAGGCAGAGGGGATTGCAGGAGACGTTGCACACACGGAGGCGTGGAGTCCTGCAGAACGGATGCATGTGGGAGGAGAAGGAAAGCTCGCCTTCTTCTTCTTCCTCTTCTTCTTCTTCTTTTTCTTCTTCTTCTTCTTCTTTCGCACGCCCGATGTAGACGCAGAGTGACGACTGCAATTTCACATTCAGGTGGCCAAAGCCAGACAGCCGCGTCAGGAGCAGCGGAGTGAATCGTCGCTGTGACGCCCCATTCGTATCTGTGGGTCGGGCGTTGCGTCGTTATCCGTTGTACGGTCTGTTTTGGATGACCGCAGTCGCACACTACTGGAGAATTTTACATTTGTGCATCAGGTATCCGCATCAGCCATGGTTTGTGCGGGTGCTATTTACGGTGGACCATGAGCTTCGTGGGAGATCAAACCCAGGGATCTGCTGCTTTGGGGTCTTGCACGAGGTGTTTGTTCGTGAGTTCTTTTGAACTCCATTCAACTCATGATCGATGGCAACTGCAAGGCTGCTTAGACCACTATCGTACATACACAGGTAGAGTACGGTACAGGTCGTGGGTTCGATCCCGACCTCCTGACGTATACAAATTTGGAGGTTGTGTGTCTCTCTCCCCGTGGTCGCGTGGATTTTTCTCCGCGTCCTTCGAGTTTTCCCACCACATTTAGAATCAACATTCGCTGAGAGAGAATTTGGCTGCTATACATTTCCACGTGATAAGGCACTTCGTTCGGCTATCATTTGTGACAGCCAGGTCGCTACTGAATAAGATTTGTATAGCTCATTGGTAAAAAAAAAAACTCCTTCCATGACAGTTTTAGGCTATAGGGGCAGACCTATATTTCAAGCAACTACTGCAATGGCTTGCATGAAGCCTAGAAAGCACTTAACAGCTAAAACATTGACTAACCTTCATTTTCCCCATCTTAGGCTCCTATTAAATGCCATCTTTGCCAACCCTGTGAATTGTCAAAGTTAGGATTAAACCCATTTAAGGCCCTTCACTAATTCTCCTAGCTAATCACATCAACTGTAAACGTTTTGGAAATAAAGTGCTATATACATTTTTTTAAAAATACAAGTTTTAAAATCAGTAGTTGGTGAAAAGCTTTACAAATCAGCAGCCTACCACTTACACCAGTCGTGTTGGCAAGTGTGAATAAATACGACAATTGTAATTCCCTTGCAGTGTTATAGTTCCGGACATATTTGCAAAGCAATGACGGGGACGCCAGTGGACGGGAGTCTGCATCGCAAGGCAGTCGGCCACCTTGCACTGCCACGGGGCAGCCACGCGCGTTACCCAGTCCCGCACAGAGAGGGCTTTTTGCGAATCCCGCCCACTCCTGATGGGATGTACATTACAGGTACCATTGCATTGCCATAAAGCACAGACAAAAGTGAGGAAACATGGAAAGTGCGTGCCATGTATTTAGAGCTGGGAATATACCCCCCGCGCAATTACTTAGCTCAATTATAGCGGCGGGTCACTTGTTTTTGAGCTGTTACCGAGACTCGAGTTACATGTGGCCCTTCTAAAGAGGTATTCTTGCATGCGCCCATCACATCCCCCCCCCCCCCCACCACATCTACACCTCCCCCCAAATCCACTGCACTCTAATCTTCTCCCATCGATGTAAAGACCCCTTTCACACCAGGCGCCTTTGCACCCCTCCCCCCCCCCCCCCCCCCCCAGTATTGTCTGCAGGAGCCAGGAAACGAGACTGCACAGTTCGTCAAAGGGGCACTTCGCAATGCCAGAGCCGTCGCGTTACATCATTGCTTCCTCAACAGTTCCTCATCAGCGCACTGCTGGATGAGGGCCTCCACACGTAGTGTGCGGGTCGTGGGGGCTATTCGATCATACTTCGCCGCAACACGCTGGTCGGTGCGGCTGTGTGCGTATGGGGAACATAGACGTCAGTGCGTAGAACAGCACAACAATGCAATTTTGCCGCACTGCCCTCTGCTGTCCACAAAGCCATACAGCAGCCTACAGCACCCGTTACATTGTTATGGCCACTCAAAGCACAGTCCAATGTCAACCCTGCTTAGCTTCTGAGATGCATCAAGCTCGGATGCATTCCTGGGTGCTTAGGTCATTGGAAGTCGTTTGTACGACTGTGTATAGATATTCACCGCACTGCGTTCATTTCAATGCATTTGTAATGCCATCCATATAACCAGGCAAGAAGCCATTGAGATTAATAATATAATCTATCTAAAAAAAACAACCTACATAGTAATCTACTGGGGCTCATTTGGATTTAAATGGGGTTAATCCGAGCCAGCAATGCCACCTATATGGGGTCAAATTAGCTGGATTAAGCAGTTTGCTAAAACAGTTGTTCGTATTTGAACAAAGTTGTCTTGAGACTGACGCTAGTAATGTCATGGCAAGAAAAAATAAAAGCAATGTGGAAACGTGGAAGAGAACGGGGGCATGCGTAAACACGCGGAGGCAAAACCGATTGTGCTGGGTGCAACGCGCGCGTGCGGGATGGAGGAGGGCCGGTCGCTTGGACCAGGCATTAGCGTCGTCTTCCCACGAATCCGGTGACCAAGAGGAAGAGAAGACCAAAGGCCAGTGGGTGGGATGGCGGAGGGTATAGGGCGTTGGCAGTGAGCTGTGGTGGTACCGACGACTTGGGGATAGGATGGCATCATGATCTGGGATCGGGCACATTGAAGATGTTGACTATGATGCTTCCATATTTATCATCATTACGTGCTCGGGTGAATGATGCCACAGGTCATTACTGTACACTTCATTGAAGACATTATGCTTCAGTAATTCCCCAAATAATTAAGTTTTCACCTTGTCAAAGGGTGTTTCGAGCAAATTAAAGGTGAACTCAAAAACGGGGTTCGTGGCGCACTTTTAATCCATCACTCGAGCTCGCAACAACACCACCACCATCGTCATCCCTAGCATTATCAACAGCAGACACAGCATCCATCCCTAAAGCTTTCCCGCCTTTCTCTCCCCTCTATGGCTTTTCCCACCCCTGTGTACAGCAGCACCAGCAGCTGAGCTAATTACCAATCAGGTGAGCGGTATTGTTCTAGTTTAATCCCCCCCCCAGGCTCGATTCGATGCACCTGTGTGATTCCAGTGCATCCCCTTGATGGCTCTACACAAGTTAACATCGCGCTGCGGTGGCAAGATGTTAACTACCTCGCCTGGTATACAGGAGGTCGTGGATTCGATCCCGACCCTGACGACGCCTGCTGCTGTATATTTGGAGTTTGCACGTTCTCTCTCTCTCCCCGTGGTCGTATGATTTTTTCTCTGGGTCCTCCGATCTTTCACATTTATAAATATACGTTTAGAGTATTGTGGGCCTTACCTTTTATTTCTCTGCACAAGCCGAAGCGTCGTCCTCTCTCGCAACAGAACCAGTTATGCTGCCCCTTCCCCTGTCACAGACATTTATAAACGTAATAATTAATTTCTCGACAACTCGCTCAACACATAGCATTTCGCACGGTTGGCTACATATAGTGCGAAATAAGTTCAGCGTACACGCATACACATGGTACATTTTGCAATGGGATGTTTGACCACCCCAACACCTGTGTTCCTCTAAAATGCACAAGCACCCAAATAATGACAGCCAGAGGCACACGCAGGCCATTCCAAAGCTTCTCAAGCGGAAAAGGGATTCAGTCAGAACCTGGGCTCATCACCCAATATGGTTATGCATTTGTTAATGAAACCCCATATGCAGGCAATTCTTTCCCATGCCCTTCCAGGTTTGGCCACCGGTGAGACCACCAACGAGTGGATTAAAGTTTTGTTTGATTGAGCAGGTGACAGCCCTTGCCCACACCCTCTGCTCAACCTCCCAGCCAACGCTCCTTCCAACAAAAACCACCCCAACTCCATCTGACATCTACCGCCTTCAAGCTGGTTTAAATCGGATTAAGAGCTTTTAATAAAAAAAAAACGTAAAATATCACTTGGCCATGGTGCCTTTTTTAAATGCTATATATTGTTCCAAAAGAATAATTTAATGGATTTAAGAAGTGGCTGGCTTAGAGCGAGCCGAAGTGATGGGGAGGGGGTGGGACTCAGTAGTGGCACGCTGGCCTCTGAAACCCGGGTTTCCCGGGTTTGCCAACTATAACCACACTCACTCTTTCATTCATGTATTCATTATTGCGCTTATATGCTAAGCATGCCACAGTTTTGTTTGATCGCACATTTGCTGCCCTGGAAAAAAAACAGATAGCTTGTTTTAATGACATGTGTAAGAGATTGGTGCCAGAAAGATGTGGCACTACTTGAGCATATTGGCACAAGACAGAGGAAAGTGGAAGCAAATGACGAAATGCGAAGTGGACACCGACGGACAATCTGCCCATGCATGGATCGTGATGATGATGATGTAGCCAACCGTGCTAATCGGAGGTGCGGGGCGGCGGGTGGGGGGGGGGGGACCAATAAACTAAACACAAAAAAAACAGTTCTAAAAGAAATTGAGTTTTCAATCTCGATGATTTAAAAGTGCATGCATTTCATGGAATACTTTCACTCTTGTGGAAAGTCAATGGTGGTCACCCTATGGAGAGGCTGGCCTCCCATCAAAGGAATGTGGATTTTCAACGCTGCCTGAGATTGACCCCAGTGTTTATTTGGGAAGGAACAAGCTGCGAATGTATATACCCGCTTGAATGTTTAAGATTCAGTTCAATTACACCATATAAGCATGAGTGTTTATTAACAATAATAATGTATTTGTTTACACGAAAAAGCTTAAATGAGGTTGAAGATTTATTGTCAGATGCATCTGCGCTTTGAAATCTTTAACCAATTCCTTTACTGTTGTCGTATTGTTTATTTACATGTGGGGGAGAACGCGCGCAACTGGGGTGCGGGGAGAGACCCAAACATATGAGCGGCAAACCCTCAAATACCACACAAACATCTCAAATCCTACTTGATGTACTGCCTCTGACAAAAAAACCCACTCCATTGCCCTACAGACAGGTCCATAACCCAAGTTCCATCTTTACTCGATTTGCCAACCCCATCTCCAAATGTTCGGATTACAGGCAGTTGCCATCACCACCCGACTTTTTAAAAGTACATTTCTAATTTAGTATGTGGAATTGCGACACGCTGGTTGTTATCTATCACGGTGTAATGGTTAGCACACTGGAGTTGCAATCCAGAGGTCACCCCGTTTAATGTCCTGGTTGAAACTATGGTGCAAGTTTTTTGTTGTTTAATATTTGTATTATTATTATACTTCAATAGGAGACCGGTACAAACCACAACTATGGTGCATGTATAAAAAAGAACATCTCCACCCACTCCATTGGAAACCTCATTTGCCAGTAACAAAATATGATAATTGTTTTTTTTACCCTTTTATCTGGCAACAAAACTGACACCTTTTTTTACAAGGAGTCATGTTTACATTGACCACAATACCTGCGGTCGGAACGCAAACAAAAAACAACTCTTATAATGTATGCACTGTCCTTGAAATTGATTGGTCCACACCCAAGACAGCTTTCTTTAGAGCCTCGTCTCACGTTGGTGTTGGACCAGAAGACGCCAAAAGGCGCACAACTCATAGACAATGCACCATCAGAGTATGAGAGCTCGGGGTAGGCATTTACACCATTGGAAACCTCATTTGCCAGTAACAAAATATGATAATTGTTTTTTTACCCTTTTATCTGGCAACAAAACTGACACCTTTTTTTGCAATGAGTCATGTTTACATTGACCACAATACCTGCGGTCGAAATTTGTTTTTGTTTGCGTTTCGACCGCAGGTATTGTGGTCAATGTAAACATGACTCCTTGTAAAAAAAGTGTCAGTTTTGTTGCCAGATAAAAGGGTAAAAAACCAATTATCATCTCCACCCACTGTCCACCGAGCTGTAGATTGATAACGAATTTCTTTATACTTATTTTTGTGTTTAGTTGGTTGTCCTTTCCGCCGCACCTCCGATTAACGCGGTTGGCTACGTACGGTGCGAAAGAAGTTCAACGAACATAAATAAATGGGTACACCCACAGTTAGTCGATCGGTAGATCAGTCGAGTGTGGTGGGGTAATGTGTGGGTGATCCCATCTCTTCCAAGACGTCATTCTTTTCATTACTTCATAACTGCATTGGCCCTCTGCCTCGGTGCCCCTTGGTCTGGCAGACATCCTTGCATGGCATCATCGCACCTTCGACGAGCGCGGTTGGCTACGTACGGTGCGAAAGAGGTTCAACGAACATAACTCCGTGACGCCGATGGAGCCCGCTTACCACTGTCAACGACCCCGGAGTGCGACGGCAATGAGACTGCGCGGGCGAAGTTACGATTTTATCATCGCCCAACGGACACGTTTGGGGTTGCTCAGCGAGCAAATTGACTCCTCTCTCTCTCTCTCTGGGCACGTGACCTGTGGCTCAGACAGCACACGGGACGGGATTCAGCATCGCCCCCCCCCACCCCCCCTCTGTAAAGAATACGAGCGTTCTCGATGTAGCGAGCTACGCGTTTAGAGTTTTGAGATTATTTTGCTGGTATAGATTTCCACGTGATTTAAGCCACTTTGTTGAGCTATCATTTCTGGCGAGGTCGCTTCTGAAAAAATAAGTTAATACATCAGTGGGCTTTACATGGTGATATAAAAAAAAAACGGTTTCTTTTTTTACGTGTATATTTATCTTGTCAAGTGATTTGTTTGCCTTTCCTATGCTTAGCACTCGTTTTTTTAATATTGTTCTGACCCAGGTGCCCTAACTGGACATCCATGACAAAAAAAAGAGCTTCATGGCTCATCGGATCCCTCCAGTTTAAGTAAATATTCTCATTCTGATTACACATGCGATTATATTAAGCTGGTGCGAGTGCACTTTGTCTCGTCCGCGGTGTGCAACACATGGCGACTCTTTTCCAGAACGGCTTTCGCTCCCTCGCGCTATCGAGCTCTCATGGAATTTGCCGTAATCAAATTTGAGCATGAAAAATATGTACCACACCGGGTGCAGTGCCAAAGCCACGTTATCTCCCTACCACCCCACCCAAGCTTGCGTTCCTTTAACTCCTCAATGTTCAAATTGTTTTGGCCGAATTCAGGGCAAAGAACGGGTCTACGCGATAAAGTGGAATTAAACAGAAATCCACGTTTACATTTAGGCATGCCCCCCCCCTCCCCCTCACTAAACCCCATCTCTCGCAAAACTGTTAAAGTGTTTTCTTCGGTTGAATATGTTCTCAATTCACTTTGCAGCCAATGCAGTTGTGTTTTTGGACAAAAAAAAATAGATTTTAAGGGAGACATCGTCAAAATGTAAGCTTGGTTTGAAATCAAATTTTTTACTTTCAGGTCTCAACGATCGGAAAGAATCATCGTCGTCGTCGTCGTGAACGCACGTGGACGACATCCCGGCGGATCGTGAGTTATTTGGGGTTAAGTGACATTGTGGCTACTTTAAATGCTCTCAGTGTGGTCGCGAGTGGTTCGCTTTCACGATGAAAGCAATTACCGAAGAATTCCAGAGATAATCAGCTCCTATAAGAATGTGGCATCTAATTTCATCATGTCACGAATGTTTAAATAAAGCCCCTGAGAACCAATCGGAGGGAGGGGAAACAAAGAAAAAGCTGTCGCTTTCTATAAAGCCTGGCGGCTTCCCATTGGTCGAAACGTGCGTGACGTCACAGGACGACGCTGCACGGTGCAGTATGGCAGTGGGGGGTGGGAGATATATTTTTCGATCTATCCTGGCTTCCCATTGGTACAAACGTGAACCAGTTGGAGGGGGGGGTATCACTTTCCATCAATCCTGGCTTCCCATTGGTCCAAATGTGAACCAGTTGCGGGGGGGGGGGGGGGGGGTATCACTTTCCATCAATCCTGGCTTCCCATTGGTCGAAGCGTGAACCATTTGTGATGGGGGGGAGGGGTATGTCGCTCTGGCTTCCCATTGGTCGAAGTGTGCGTGATGTTACAGAAGGATGTGCAGCGTGGCTGTGCAGCGTCGTTCTGAAACGAGAACCAGTTGGGGGTGGGAAGATGTCCCAAACTATAAAACCTTGAATAGGCTCACAGTTGATGACATCACCTTTACTCCTCAAATTCAGACCGAGACAGGAAGACTTCTTCACAATTCTGATGAAGCTGGTTGCAATCACCACCGAAATGTCGTACTCTCCAAACACACGGGTGTGCTGAAGTAGTGAGCAATTAGCACGTTTTGTTCACGTGGCAAACCTTACTTTTATTATGGATAATATTGGCCGTGAAAGCCTACGTTTTAAACTTGTATAAAAGCTGGCTTCCCATTCGTCAAAGCGCGCGCCACGTTACAGAACGACGCTGCAGGGGCCACGGCTGTTCCGCTCGCTCCTTCAACTTGGCCGGCGATACGGGCGACGTTACAGCGTGGTCCAAATGTCTGGTGACCCCCCCCCCCTCCCCCCTCCATTTAATTATCTTCAACGTAATAACATGTTTTAAAGTAAGGTTTATTTAAAACAGAAGATAACTGGACCACCCTGTGGAGCAAGGCCGTAGCCATGGAGTCAGCATTGGGGGGGACCAAATCATTCAGGGGGTCCCCCCCCCAGAAAAATTTCTAAATTTGAGAACTCATTTCCTGCTAAAATATAAAAAAAATCACTAACACATAGGATTGACTTTTATTTATTTTTTACAATAATGTCTGATAGTGTATTGTATTACATTGTTCTGTTTAAAAAAAAATAGTTTTCACCTTTTCTTGTGTCATTGTATGTAATGGCAGAGTTTATGTATTAATAAAGTACAACCATAACCACAATCATATAAACAGAAATCTATTTTATAGCAATATATTGGGGGTGGGGGGACATTTTGAGCATATTTGAATATTGGGGGGGATGCGTCCCCCCTATATATATTATAATTACGGCCTTGCTGTGGAGTATGCAGCATTGCCTCCACAAACACCGCTTGCACCAGCATCACTACATTCGACGGAGCATCAAAGACTCTGAACTGGCCGTTGTATTAGGCGAGTGCATTGAACGTGAGTGCAATTCTGGGGGCGTGAGGACGCCTCCAGCCTATCACCTCTTTGGGGTTGATAAAACAGGTACCACTTTGTGGGAAGGCACTCGTGGTCAACATATGTTTGGATCGGTGAAAGGGGGGGGGGGGTCGGAACCAGTTCAGATGTTCGCTGTGGAATCGAACCCAGGTTGTTTGGTGTATAGTGCGGTGCACGAAGCACACGCATTTCAGCCAGAGGCACGCACAAGACGAGAGATCTCGACTTGGGACATCTACAGGTCAGCGGCTGGAGTCTCGTGACACCGAGCGACGCGAGTGTTAAAGAAGGAGACTTAAATTTTGATTTAAAGCTTTCGTGACTGCAGTAATTCATATTCTTAGCTCTTTCGGTAAAGTCACGTTGAAGGGAAACAATAAAATAATTAAAAAAATATATAAAACAATAAAAATTCTCACGACGTTTCGACCATGGTCACGACGTTTCGACCATGGTCGACCATGGAATTTTTTTTATTGTTTTATATATATTTGATTATTTTATTGTTTCCCTTCAACGTTACTTTACCGAAAGAGCTAAGAATAAGAAGGAGACTTGTTGAATAGTAGAGGCTGGCGCGTAAGCCACACACACGTCCACGACGGCATCGCCAGACAGACTTGGCCTGCGAGGTGGTTCCGTTGTTTGCACTAAACCACACTGTTTGGAGACTGTGTCAGGCTTAAGCGAGAGTATTTTTCGCGCAGTCTAAATACAGGATTACTGAACACCATGCACGTACGGGGCAGAGGAAGGGGCAGGGGGGGCGAGGAAGCAAACACGAGGCCCTATTCTGGTAACACTGTCTATGGTTTGTGGGATTCTCCCATGAGCTGCTGGGTCTTACACCGAGGTGGCGGAGGTGGGGTGGGGGGTTGAAGTGGAGGCATTTCTCGGGTGTTTTGTGAGCTCCGTCCAATGCTGTCGGTGTCTCTTTTTTTCTGACATCAAAATTAACCGTTGGCAATCTGTAACGCACACTCTCGATATCCAAAGAGGGCGCTCTTCAAATTGTATCTCACTGCACTGCTGAGCAACGTGCTACGCTCTGCAAACGTCTTCAATAAACTTCAGTGCTTAGCGCTCCTAAGCCGTGGGCCTGGCCATCCGAGTTCAATTCCCGGTCACGGATAATTCAAATGCGATCAGAATTGGCGCTGCCCTCCCTCCTATTCCCAAGCCACATTGACCAGTGCGGTCAAGAAATCCCCAGACCGACAGAATATGGGGAGACCTTCATTTATCGGCTGATTGAAAGTTTTCTGCAATTATCTAAAATGTGTTCATCAATACAATGAATTATTCAAGAATTAAAAAAATACGAAGCGGCGGAATTGTGGCGATCGAATTGCGCCGCTAACCCAGTGCCTCGAATTTTTATCCCGGTCAGGGCTCGCATCATCACGGGCAAGGGAATATCTGGACCAAGCCTGGAAGCACCTTCAGCAACCCACACTGGCCAGCATGCTGACGCATGGCCAAACAACCCCTACGCTTGTGGCCGTACACTATAGGCTGTATATTAAACCGATGTCGCCTACACTCTTTCAATGGATGAGCAACGGTAAAATGCGCTTGCTCATCTAATGCAACCAGGTGAGAACCATATTTAATGAATGTATCTATCCGACAGGGAACGTATTCTGGAATGATAACATATTAATGATTCTTTCGCAATGGGAATTGTAATTGTTAACTACCTCATCTGGTATACAGGAGTTCGTGGGTTTGATCCCAAACCCGACGCATGTATGTGTGGGGTTTGGATGTTCTCCCCGTGATTGCGTGGATTTTTTTCCTGTCCTCCAGTTTTCCCTCCTTCACTTTTAGTGAAAGGCCGTAATTATAATATATATTCGGGGGGGACACATCCCCCCCAATATTCAAATATGCTCAAAATGTCCCCTCCCCCCAATATATTTCTATAAAATAGATTTCTGTTTATATGACAAAACAGAGCAATGTAATACAATACACTATTAGACATTATTGTAAAAAAAATTTTTAAGTCCATCCAATGTGTTAGTGATTCTTTTTAATATTTTAGGCAGGAAATAAGTTATCAAATTTAGATTTTTTCTGGGGGGGGGGGACCTCCTGAATGATTTGGTCCCCCCCTAATGTTGACTCCATGGCTGCGGCCTTGATTTAGAGACATGCGTTTCGAGTATTTGGCTGCTGCGATTAATTTCCACGTGATAAGCCACTTCGTGTGAGCTATCCTTTGTGAGAGCCAGGTCGTTTCTGAAAAAGAGACCTACATAGCTCGGTGGGCCTTACCTGGTGAATTTTATTTCTTTATTTTGTTTACTGGGTGAATAGGTCAATGGTAAAGAGGAATCTTTACCTTCATGCCATGGTGGAGCGGTTCGCACACTGGACTTGCGATCCAGAGGTGCAAGTTGCTTGGCCGTCTGAAATCTCTCCCTGGTTCAGTCCACCCAGCTGTATACGTTGGTTCAGCGTGGGTCCTTCCATGTTTTCCAAGACGTCTGACCAGCGTGGAAGAGTAGGCCAAATACCGTCTAGAGTGGCACTCGAGAGCTCCCTGCAGTGGAGGTCCTTTCACCAGCAGTGGCGTGAGCAAGACATTGCAGGGCTGAACCTCTACAAACCACTGTTTACCAAACGCTCCTTGAAATGCATATATTTGAGGCCTGTATTGCCATATTAATAAGAGAATGTCTCATGATTTTATTTTAATAGAGGTGAGCATCGTTGAAAAGTAACAAGCATATGGTTTGTGAGTGCTTTTAATGTCTTGCTGTTTTACTATTTTTACCTGCGTGTCCCCCACAGCATTTAATAGAATATCCTATTTACTGAAATTCACGTGTAGTGCATATGTATGTGTGTTAAACGTCTTATGCACCGTACGTAGCCAACCGTGCTAATATGAGGAATGCTTGGGTAGTAGCACTGGGGAGAGAGCACACACAACAACCAACAGTTGAAATCCCATTCGAGGCAACAGACAAAGCCCATCTAATCCCTGGCGGGGTCGATAAAGTGGGTACCAAGTTATGAGTGGTCAACGGTGCTTGCGATGTGAACAAACTTTGGGGAATGTGGAATCCGCGCGAGGAGGGTCCAGGCGGACGGCCATTCCCTTTCACTGCACACCAATATCTGCTCCCAACATTCCACACTTTACAACACTTTTTATATATATAAAGGGTCACCATGTGGAAGGGGAATTCTGTGATTAGTAAGGGACCCGTAGAAATCTGCGGAAGCAAGGGCGTTATTCGCAACACGATGATAATACAAACAATAAAAGCGCGGGACCCCTTCCGCACATGGTGTTTAATTTCTAGGGATGAGTTGTGTCACGCGGTAGATACGCGCGAGCGTTTCGGTGTCACGAATGATTGACGTTTTCAGTTTCAGTTTCATGTATTAGGTATAGCCCTGTGAGCCATGCCAGGCTCTTAACTCGGGTGCAACCGCAACAAACAAAAAAAAGACCACGAACAAGAAAACTTCTTAAAGTGACTACGCGCAAACAGAAAAATCCAGGGGAAAAAAACCCAGCAAAGTCTCCCAGAAAAAAGCACCGTACACCAACGCTGTGTGCAAAAAATCCCAGTGGGATGCAAGTCAAACAACAACAACAACAACCATAAGACAATTAACATCAAAGTTATCAGTCTACAAATACGGCTAAACCAAAACGTTTTCGACGTAGCAGCAGCAACAACAGCAGCAGCAGCAACAGCGCCGTGGCGTTTGACGAACAGCGCCAGGTAGCCCGCTCCACGGCTATCAGCTCGAGCCCGTGCGCATATGTGGCGATTGATATCCGA